AATTATATGTAAATTGTATTTATTTTTCAACGTGATCACCTTTTAAGCTAATACAACTTGAATAGTGTTTTTCACGTCCTTGGTCAACGTTCAATCATCGTCGCCGTCGAATTTTATACCACGCAAGTGCCTTTTCAGATGAGTGAAAAGGTGAAAATCAATCGGGGCTAGGTTCGTAGAATATGGTGGGTGCTGCATCAACTGAAACCCAGCAGTTCGGATGGCAGCGCCTGCAACATTAGACCGATGGGCAGAGGCATTATCATGGTGAAAAAGCTCTCCAGCACGCAATTTTTCTCGACATTTATTCTTTAGTTCTTCGCTTAGGTTTTTGATTATTAATCTCCGGTTATTGTCTCTCTTTTTCTTAAATAGTCGACAATTATTATACCTTCCGCATTCCAAGACAGAAGCCACAATTTTTCTAGCGGACGCAGACACCTTGAATCTTGAATCTCGTGGCTGGCGGGGAAAACGGTTTTTTCCACACCTTGCTTTGATTTTTCGTCTCCTGGTCAAAATCGTGTACCCACGTTTCATTTACGGTTACGAAACGAGCGCAAAAAATGTGGATCTTCTTTTATTTTTCTTTTATTTAGCTTTGAAATATCAACTTCTTTTTTCTTTTAGGCGTCTGTTAACATTCGAGGAATCCAGTAGGCGGCCACCTTTTTGAATTTTAAGTTATGAGTTAAAATAAACTGAATGTTCCAAAGGAAAGCTTTAGAATCTCAGCTAAATAACGAATGGTCACACGTCGATCTACGTTAACAATTTCTCCGATTTTTTAAACGTTTTCTTGCATAGTCAGTGTTGAAGTATGAGAAGTTTAAAAAAAATTGGATATAGATTTTTAATTTAGTTTTTTCTGGCCTTGGCTAGTAACGAATTTAAGATTTGAAAAAAAAAATAGAACGCATTTTTATAACTCATTGATAAGTGTCCTACTCCGAAAACTTATTGATCAACCTAGTAAGGTTGAAGGTTAAAAATCGCTTGGGACAGATGATCGTCCTCCCATTGATAGAAAAGTAGCAGGATTCGAGGATTACTGTGTCCTACAATTCCCTTTGGACCTCAGATAAAAATTTAATATCCCAACGCAACTTGTCTATCTTTTCTTCCAGCTCCAGGGTCATCGCGTTAATCCTTAGAATACGTTCGTTAAATATTGCCAGATTGACTTGACGAAGATGACTACCAAACAGGAAACAAAAGGAGACTTTTAGCACTCCCTGTGCCGCTGCTACCATGGTCACCACTGTGGTCAGGAATAGGGAAGCCAATTTAAAAAGAAGAGTATGGGATGGCCCTCTACTAAATGGCGTAACGACTCGGTAAGACATGCACGACATATGTTCAACAGTGGAGTTCTAAAGGGATGTAATGATTACAATAATGATATTCTTGTATATTATGCTTAAAGCTAACTAATAATTTACATTATTATTTTACATTATTTATTCAACTATCTTTTATCTGCGACTTCGTCAGCGTAGAACTTAAACAAAAATCCTGATGATCTATTTATATTAATTCTTTGGTTTGCCGAGACAATGTTCGATCAAAGAATAATTCAGTAAGTGCTATGAAATTGAAGTTAATCTTTACTGACACTACACTTCGGTTATTACTTAAAGTTACAGTTAAAAGCAATTTTTAAGGCACATTGTTTATAACAATTGAATTTGTTTTATATAATTAAAAACCGTTTCACCCATTAATTGCGAGCTGTTAGAACTGACCGCTACTAACTAGACTAAATGAAAAAAAAAATCTAATATTAGTTACAATAGTCAATGTAGATATTGCCGACTCCTACTGTAGTATATTGTGAGTAGATTAATATTGTGTGTCGATACTCTACCTTCATAAAAATAATAAACATCAGTTGGACTAGCTAGCGTTTATTTATTACACCTACGAATGCACGTTGTTTAAAATAATATATTTAAAAGAAGAGATATTTTAAGAAATAGAAAAATTCTATAGAAAATCTATAGAAAAATTCTGAATTTATCTGTGAATACAACAGGCTGGTCTCAACCTACTTTATTTATAAAATTTGGAGGCACCGGTGTAAGAAATCTTTCTAGCTTTGCATTGCTCGTTTTCATGTTTTCATGCTGGAAGGTTATCCCGAAACGTTCTGAACGTTGAGTAATTGTTATCCGAAGAGATTTTGTCTCTCTGTCTGTCTTATGAAATGTTTAGAGACGATGGCAGGAGGCCCAATGCTATGACTTTGGTTTGAAAAAATAAAATAATTTGATTGATCACTGAATCATTAGCCACTTTCTAAATTTACACATTTTACGACCTTTTGTATTATTATTTTATCGACTTTTATCACGGTTTTTAATAACGTAGTTTACTCTTTCATGGTAATATTCTTTTAACTCTTAGACAATAGAGCTATCACAACAATGCTTATTTTTATCGACAACCATAGGTTTTAAAAGTAAAAAGGAAGTAAGAAGAGAATAAAAATATTGCTGATATTTTTAAATAAATTTAATTATAAAACTAATGTAACACTTAATTTGCTACACGTACAAACATAAAACATTTGACAGGTTATGATAATTTAGTATAAAATTATTATTTACAATAATACTCTTAAAGAAAAATCATTCGATATAAAATATTGTCATTAAGCAACATATAAGGCCGATTTAGCCACATCAGATTAGCTTGCTACATATTTATTTATCTATGCTTCAGATTATTGGCCCGTTAGACTGTGTGTGTTACACTGGTCACATGAGTAAATGAAACGGAACAGCTGTAACGCTTCATACCACCGCGCGAATCGGTTGCACTACTGTAAGCACGCGGGTCATGTGTGCGTGACCACTGGCCGCTTGTTGCCTATGCGGCATGACTGGAAGAAACCAGCTACTCTGGCACAGCCAGTGGACAACAATCTCAGGGTCAGTGCGACGCACGTTGTTTGTTTTGTTAGTTGCAAGTTTGAATATTTTAATGTAAAAACGTGGTATTATTAATAATGGTTGTTTATTGTACTGTGTGTATGAATAATACTACAAAGAATTAAAATATATTATACTTATACTAAATATATTATACTATATTATACTCCCAAGGAGTACAATAGGTAAGTAAATATTTGATTATTCCTTTTTCAAGTAAGTACCTTTATTTTATTGTATGATACTTTTTTAATAAGGAGAGGGTACTACCCGATGGTTTTTATCTTTTTATTATTATTACAAGCTTTTAATCAATATTTGTAGGTATATGGGTGGGTTGGTATGTAGTAGGTATGTGTGTTAAGTTCACATATTGCAAGTAAGATTTGAACCACTTCCCGATGTCTGATTGAGTTAAAATGTTGTATACCGTAACTTCAATGACATTGCAATAATACGATAGATATAACCTGACGCTGCAGCCAGGATTGTCTTCTCACGAGGGAACTCTTCAACGGGTAGTAGCATGGACTCGAAACTTTGTATTTAAATTTAATTTTGCTTGCTAAACATAATCTTCACAATAAACTGCTGCTGCAGATAGGATAGTCTCCTCACGAAGGAACTCCTCAATAACTATAGTAGCATGATTATGAAAGTTTGAATACGCGTTAAAAAACCTTTTTAATGATAACTTATCATTAATACCTACATTGTTCTTATTTCTCGCTACTAGTCTGTCTTTAAATGAAATAAAAATTATTAGAGTAAGTAATTTGAAGTATTCTATCATACTGAATAATAAAACTATTTAAAAAATGTTTCGTTTAATTTGTCTTCACTTATTATGACAGCCCTACCAAAATAGGTTATAATTTTGCACGTTCTTAAGAAGTTTTGCCTCTGTTCCGTTTATCTACTCATGTGCCTTGGTTCTATCGTAGATATTTTCGCCTCCAATTACAGTAAGCATAGCTTGAGCAAAGAGGAACAGACAACCGATGGGGAAGGAAGATTCTCGAGTGGCAACATCGTACCGGCTATTGCAGTATATCGCGGCCCACTACTAAGTGGGGCTACGACCTAGGAATTCGTGGCTGGGAGTCCTTGTTTGCAAGTCCTAAGCCACCTGTGCCTAATATCATAATAGTCTTTGGGGGAAAGTCCCATGTTCAACAGCGGACTTCTGGTTGGCTGCATTAATGGTGGCGCTGCTGATGACAGCGATGATGATGATGATATTAACAATGATAAAGATGATGGTTTGATGATGATGATTTTGCCGATAATCCTACGTATGAAAAACACGTTCGAGAATCTAGCACGCTCATTTTTCATCTCTGGATTAGACACATAGGTAGATCATAATACGGTTTACAAATACTGACATCGAATGTATGAAAATACACGTAAGATTTGTTGTTAAGGAAAGAAAATAATACATTATAATATATTATGTATTTGTTGCCCAATATAATATAACAAGAACATCGGTCAAATACGACCTGACCAAAGTATGAAACAACCACCATTGATATGTCAAAAAATAGTGGTTTAAGTGTATATTAAATTACGGATTCTTAGATACATAACAGTGAAAAGATTAGAAAGGATATTAATTTATTTTTGTGGACTTAGCCATTCACTTAAATAGTTAAGTATATATTACTACATAGTTTTCATATCAATGGTTTTAGCTGAGGTTGTAGTCATGGCTGCAGACTTAGTACATCATAACCTTAAAAGTGACGAAATACATAAGTGTAACGTTCTATGATCCTCGGCTTTTAAATAATATATTTTCAATTTAAGATTCAGACTGTGCCTACGGGAACGGATTAATCCATACACTAGTCATGTTCGTAATATTTTATAGCCAGATCACAACATGTATGGGCCGTGACCGATGTTCTTTACGTTATAGCCAAATTTGCACAACGTTTCACTAACATGACTATTTCACAAACCGTTTCTAGTGCAATATTTTTCATGAATATTGCATCACAATGTAATATCTTATATTTCACTTTTTATACTGATTTATCACATTTTTATCTAAACGTCGTTTCACATTTTTGGTTCACTGGCATAATTTTCATAGAGCCAGTCCCAAAAGCGAACTCTTTTTGCATCTGGATCTGTTAGCAAGGTGAAGTTGCCATCTATATTGAGATAATTGATGTGCTGTGTGTCGTTCACTGGAAGCCACTTGAAGTCTACAGCCGATTGGTAGTCGACAGGAGGTGTTGGATTCCTGGAAGAAAATTGAAAAAAAAAACATGTCAAATGATAATGAACACAGAGACTAGGTTTTTGCCTGGCAATGTGACCAATTAAATCTATTTTTCTAATACGATCATGTGAAATATGTATTGTATACTTTTCTATAGCCTTTCTTTTAAGTAGGTTGCAGGTGCCCATGGGCTGCATAAAAAGTAATGAACTGACAGAAGTACTAAATTTTATTTGTCACTTCATTAACAAAAAAACAACTTTGTGTCCTGTTAAAATTATTAAGGACAAAAATTGGTATATTCTGCTAGATCTGATAAAGACCACTCTCGCATAGTAAAATAGCAGCATAATGCAGTGCTATGTTTCATATGATGAATGACTAGGCCTTTTTAGAGGGGGATGCGGGGGGGGGGGGCGCTGACCCAAGGGATGCGACGGAACCACAAACTACTAAGAGGATACTACGCATCACAGAACCGGGTCGTTATTCCATCTAGTGGTGAGCGTGCGCTCGTTTGTCATCTTTACAAATTGCAAATAAAAATACTAAATTTCAGGCATATTTTTGTCAAAATGACTTTTATAGCAATAGCATAATCGTAAGCAGATACGATAGACACTGTCGTCCACCGACGGTATACCAGAACATCGTGGAGGAACCCGTACGTCTGCAGTGACAGTATAAAAACTATTATTTCTGGGCACATCATCACATTGAAATCACTGGGAGGGTAATGGAAACTATTCTTGTGATATCTCGTATCTATCTTGTAATATACATCACGCTGTCCTAGTAAATGTTTGCGGATTTTAAACAACTTTAAAACAAGAAAATATGCAGTTGCGAATAGGGTGGGATGGGTGAAATAATGTATTACACGGTAATTTGGTCAAATAATAACTGCCATGAAATACGTAACTGCGACATTCGAATTGCGTTCTCATGTGTGTGCGATATAAAATCGTAAAATTAGCTGACCGTGTCGGTTCTATTATGCCCCGATGACAACACACGTTATATAATGCGGCGATATCCGTAACTCAAAAGGAGGTTGTTTGTTAGTGACGCTCGAAGGTTCTGGATACTAGCCAATTCTAATAATTGTAGGAGACGACCTTTTAGATATGTATGTGTGAGGATAGGTTAGGTGTTCACTATGCAGGAGGATCCTTCTGTTAGGATAAAATTTTACTCTAGTTAAAATCACTTACAATTTGTATTAAAATAGATTGATAACAAATAAGAATAAAAATAAAAAATATTTTAAGTGATTCTTAAAACTAGAATAATAATCTATTGCTGTATTATAAATCCGTTAACCTTACAGATACAACGCAAAGATACTAACCCAGTTTTAGCAAAGTTAGTCCACATTTGTACCATTTTTCTTGAAACGGCCAATTCTGGCGATTCATCATCCAGTCTATAGTTTAGTCTCGAGAAATAGAAGAGGTATCCCATTTCGTCGCCATGGCATGCGCCCGGATGCGAGATGCCCAGCATGCGCTTGAATAAGCCTAGCGCACCGTCGAACGCAAACCGATACATGTAAGTTGGACTAGTTCTGTTGGTTGCTGCTTGCAGGCGTATTGTTTGTAACAAAGGTCGCAAGAACATGACGTCCGTGAACAACTGTTAAAAAGAAGATAGAAATAATAAATTACTAATACCATCGGTATATATGTACTACGACGCACTAGATTTCGCATTCCAAACATTGACTATGTTCAACTGAACTGTACTGCAATCCGTACACTAATCTAAATATTGCGTAAATTGAAGATATGTGAATTCCATAAGATAATTATTATTACATTTTATTTAGAAATATGTTTGTTTAGATTAAAATAGGAGTATTTTATACTAAATTAAGTTTTTATTATTAAGTAACTTATATTTATTTTATATTCTTATTATATTTTATATTAAATTAAAGTCTTCGCGCATACGGGACTCTACCACTCCTTGGTTATAAAAAGATACTCTGTGGACTCTACTATCTCCCGCGCATGCGCAAAGACATAGAGTAGCGCACAATTTTTGTTTTGGAATAGCTTCTCACACACATATGTATAGTTAGTTAAATTAAGATACTATGTGCTTGACGGTGAAACACAACATCGTGACGATACCTACTTGTATGACGATAAAATATTTCGAGAGCACGTGAAATCCGCCAACACGCATTGGAGCAGCGCGGCGGAAGAAATAGTTCATAGCCCTCTCAGAAATAAGAGGAAATAAAAGGTAACTTTTTTTTTAACTTTTATAATATATTGCGAATTATTGTTGTTTCATAGTTCGATTCGTACCATGTTGTATCAATAAAAACTCCTAAACATCTTTCTGGAAGGCAAAGGTCTCTTCTTATTTCTGAGACTAGCTGTCTGGATTTCATGGGTTTTAATTTTTTTTTGCGCGGAACTCTATTTATTTTTCTAAAATAAAAGTAGCCTACGTTATTTCTTATAACATCAGCTATCTGCCAGTGAAAGTCCCGTCAAAATCGGTCCAGCCATTTCGGAGGTTGGCCGCAACAAACAGACAGACAAACAGATAGATAGACTCATAGACAAAAATTTTAAAAATTGTTTTTTTTTTGTTGTGAGTACCGTATATATTTTCATATGCATTTAGTAAAAGCTGTTAATTTGAAATTACAAACAGATACTTAAATTTTATTTATTTGTATAGATGTATAGATGCTAATGGAGCTTGTCAGAGTAGTGCAACACGCATTTTCATATTATATTCTTAATATTTATTATTTCTCAGATATTATGGTCCTTTACAGCCGAGTACGCATAGTTGCAATTAAAGGTACATAATATCATATCTTTCTATGTGTGATATTCCATCCAATAGAGCCTATTAAAATCCACTGCATAGGCTCATATACTGCCTAATTTTTTTTTTTATAAATCCCCCAGGATTAAAAAAAATCCGCTCTATTATTCATAACTGATAAAAAACAATACAGTTTGCAATGAAAAATATAAATGACGTATATTGTACAGGTAATGTACAGATTTACAGCTCAGCCAATAATACTTACATCTATGAGACTGTTGATATTCCGGGCATCAACTGGGTGCTGTTGAAAGTAGAACGCTTTGATATGGTTGGCCACCTTGTTGGTCCGCTCTTCGTCCAAGGAGAGTAGTTCAGGCGGTATGACACGAGTAAATTCGTGTTCCAACTCGCTCAGAAGTTTTGGATAACGCTGGAGACCTGGAAACAAGTATAATCCAAGACTGCAATTATGTGTAAGAATATCTCATCATCATCATCTTTGTGGGTCTTGGTATTATCATCGATCGCCTTCCATTTCGCTCTGTCTCATGCCTCCCTTCTACAATATGTTTTCTTGCCTATACTCCTCAGATCTTCCCCGACATAATCATTACACCGCTTCCTCTGGGATCTATTTGCAGAACGTTTTGGTAGCTCAAATGTTATCTATTCCTTCCAAGTGGCCTGCCCATCTAAGCCTTCGTGTCTTGGAGAAGAACGATCGTTTCTTTTCACTTTAAGAATATCTACTTTTATTTTTTTGTATTACTATAATTCATTTCGTTTAAGAGTATCTTCATTTAAGAATTTATTCATTTTTCCATTCTAAGAGGAATTAGTGATAGCAATAGCAGCGACTAAGGTGCAGGATATCTGACAATCCGGCTGTCACACTAAATCTAATAATATTACACTAAATCTTCCCTATTTTGATAGAGGTAGAATACCTGCCGTGGACTGATACTGGCTGATAAAGAAGAAGAAGTTAGAATCAGTCACCACGTATCTTTGAATTTTCAGTACGTCCTAGGTCTCGGTATTTTACATTTGGTGTAAGAGAGCCATCTATCGGAGGTCACAAGATCTTTTAAAATTACGTGATGGATTGTATAACACCGCCACCACAAGGCCCCTTAAATCTATGTCTACTCTTTTATAAAGGCCATGTAGGAAAAGAAGGTTAAACCCCGTAAGACCGAATACGTAAAGAGCTAACCTCACCTGCATGCAATGCATATTGTTAATTGACGGACGGGGTTCTGATGACTGATGTTGAAAAGCTATCGCAAAAGCATAAGCAAACGAGGATAGATTTAGATGTCTATGGGCCATAGCAACCACTTATGTACCAACAGGTGGACTGTGTGCTCGTTTGTCACCCTATCCTATAAAAAAAAACCGTGCTTGACTTTTTGTGTTGCAATACACTAGAATCATCGGATTTTCAAGATAAGTTAAAAATAATCTTAATAAAATGCATTTTTTTTTTCATTTAATAAAGTTAAAAAAAATTATAGTGTCCTTGTTAAACTATGTAGTGGCGTTACAAGACTATGCAGTACACCATATCGTCCCGTGGGTGTTGTAAGAGGCGACAAAGGGAAACTAAAACAGGATATGGGCAGTAGCATTTTCCAGATAACAACGCAAAATAATAATTTAAAAAAAAGTGCCGTTGCCAAGCGAGGAAACTATGGGAAAATGCCATATTGCCCCTGTGAGGCAATCTATGGCCATAAAGGCCATAAAGTTCAGCAGTGGACTTTAATAGGCTGTAATGGTTGGATGGATGGATTTATAGCTTTTAACAGCGACTTCGTCCATGTGGAAGTCAAACTAAAATAAACCTGCAAAACTAAAATTGTGGTCAGTGGGCAAGTAGTACAATTAAAGAAAAACCACCTTAAACTCAGTTTTTTTGCCAATCACGAACTATGTGTGATATTGGAAAGTATTTAAAATAAAAATTAAAGATCTAAGACATAGAAAATAAAGAGTTTTTATATTTCTTATAGCTTTTGAGATAACCAGTTTTACGATTTGACAAGAAAATTCTCCATGATTTTCGGGAAAATACAGTCTAGATCACACTGACATTTCTTTTTACCTGTTCGTGAAGTTTCATCACAATCGGTTTGTACACATTGACAGACAGACAGTAAGATTTTTTTTAAACTGGTTATTCATGTCTTGACAGCACGCTAATAACCTTAATAGAAGGCAGTTATTTCGATATTACAGACAGACAACTGAATTTAATTTTAATTTTAATGTACATAGGCTGCACTAAAAGTATCGGGAATGGAATATTTCCACTGTTCATGTCATATTAAAATCTTTTTAATTGAAAAGTCCTTGGTTTTTTAAAATTGTATACCATTTATTTATTTAAAAAAGATTCTCGGTCTTGTCACAAGGTTTTGTCAAACTTGTTTAGTCGTTGAGAAAATGGAATTGACTCGAGAAAATTCAAGAGCGATGATTTATTATGACTTTCGAAGTGGTTTAACACAAAAACAGTCTGTTGACCGGATGATCTCTGCATTTGGTGATGAAGCCCCATCCAAAACCACAATTTATCCCTGGTTTGATGAATATCAATCCAAAAACTGCAATCACCCAAGAAAACGTTGATGCTGTGTGTAAGCTGATTGAGGAAGATCGACATGTGACATACAGCGAAATTTAGGCAACTTTAGACATTGGCATGAGTCAAACAAATAATCTTGCATGAACAATTAGGTGTAAAAAAGTTGTTTTCCCGATGGATACCGCATTCGCTCTGTGAAGAGCAAATAGCGGCTCGCGTTACTTGGTGCGTCAGAACTCTCGAAAGATTCCACGCAGGATCCTCAAATGCTGTATACAACATCGTATCAGGTGACGAATCCTGGATATACGCGTACGAATCCGAAACAAAAAACCAGTCACGAGTTTGGGTGTTCGAAAATGAGTTAAAGCCAACAAAAATTGTTCGTTCACGGAGTGTTGCAAAAAAAATGGTGGCCACGTTTGTCTCCAAAAACGGACATGTTACGACTATTCCTCTTGAGAGACAAAGAACGGTTAATGCAGAATGGTATGCTAGCATTTGTTTGCCACAGGTCGTTTTTGAACTCCGTAAAGAGAACTGCAACCGCCGCATCATCCTCCATCACGACAATGCACACAGAACAAAAGAGTTTTTAGAGCAAGAAAACATAGAATTATTAGACCATCCGCCGTACAGCCCCGACCTTAGCCCTAATGATTTCTATACTTTCCCTAAAATAAAGAATAAATTGCGTGGACAGAGATTTTCTTCACATGAAAAAGCTGTGGACGCCTACAAAACGGCCATTTTGGACACCCCAACTTCCGAATGGAATGGTTGCTTCAATGATTGGTTCCATCGTATGGAAAAATGTGTCAAATTTTGCGGAGAATACTCCGAAAAGCAATAAATAGTAATGTTGTGTCACTTCCTTGATTCCCGAAATTTTTAGTGCCGCCCTCGTATTATCATATTACTAGAATTATTGAAGGATAAAATTTTACTTTAAACGTTGAGTCGTTTGTTGTCTGATAATCACAATGAGGTTAAAGGACTTTTAACTTCCAGAGCAACTCTTGCGCACTAAGCATAAGATCTAAGAGACTAAGCAGCACGTCAACTCTCGTACAGTGAACCAGAGGTCTAGACGTGCTGTTTAGCATCAAAGTGTGAAGTTGAAGAATCTTTAAATCAAATAGATGGTGGTAAGATCATCTCGTTTTCGCCAGAAGTAAATTGGTCCGACCAGTGAATGGCAGCAGTGTTGAGACGACTATTAATCCTTCCCAACAGGAGAGACCCATTTCCAGTAGTGGATTTTACGGCCTGTTGAAGAAGAAGAAGGATAGAGAGGCTTTTAATTTTTGTTTCATTATTTGCACATGGCCATGGCATAACAGCTGTCTTAAATATCCGAGAATTTATGGATACATTTCATGAGGATCGGTTTAAACCTAGCATGTCTAATAGGTCGATTCTTGTCGGCAAAAGTATATTTAAATAATTTTTTCCACTTTGATTGACAAGGCCACGTGAGTGCGGAATAAATAATTCGATAACTTTAACAACATGAACAAATCGAAGTTGTATTTTTTTATTACTTAATCCGAAACATTTTTAATAACATTAAACAATAGAAATTTATTTAGCTACCTTGTTTTCATATTTCATATAAACACATAATTTAATTCTAATAACGAATCTTGTACACATACAATATTATATAGAAAAGTTGCAATTTATGACTAACCCAAATATTTATTGTGGCGGTAATGTCCTTTGCGGGCAGAGTATTTGAATTAGTCGCAGAAAATCCCAACCGAAGTAGAAGTACGTAAACATTGTGCAAGAATGCATGATTTTATATTAGAGGATATGAAACGTCGCTTATTGCTAAATACTTTTTTAACTTTTATAAGTATGACGACCACCACACTTCTTGTCATCCTACTGTTAATTTTATAAATACATAGGTATGTCCGGTGTATCGCCTGGTTTTATCTATAACGCGTTGCACTTTCTATTTTTTATGCATTATGCATTTAAAAGATAAAACGGACAGAATGTATGAGATTTTTTTTAAATTAATTTTTCTTCAGCATTTGTCTATAACTTATTCTGAACCTTCTCTGCAAATTTGGCTGGTTATTGCAAAATGATCCTGTATATGTGTGGTTTTTATTTTTTTCCTAAAGAAAGTAATCTCTTATTAATCCAATAAAATTACGTCCTTAACACGTATTATTTACGTGATATCTTTGCGATTAAATCATCAAAGATATGTGTACTTATTTCGTATTGACATAAACCTCGCCAAAACTGATGACGCAGCATCCTCTTGTGAACCGGTTTAAGTTTCACTGCCCCTGTTACTGTTACCTAACACTTGGAGAAAAGGCTCTAAATAACTGTAAACATACAAAAAACTCAACATTACGTGTTTTGAAATATTCACTAACAATGGGAAGTCGTCACCTTGCTGCTAAATATTGCGGCGACATTTAAAAGCGCAGCGGCACAGATTAGTATAATAATGTTACTACGTAAGTAGCCATGGATTACTGTTGCTGTATGACATTTAACCTCAAATTTCTATTCTTACATAATGTAAATTTTTTATATAATCTCACATCTAGAAAACAGTTGTTATAAACATTTTAATTCTTACTAACTCTCGCCCGTGACATCGCGTAGAACTTAAATAACAAAATCATGCAGATTATAGATCTATATATCTGTCTATATTGGTTTTTGGGCAAGTAGTTCAGTTATCGATAAGCCACATTAAAGTTAATTTTGTCCAATTATATCGGAAACTATGCGCGATATGGGAAAATGTTTAAATTAAAAATTGAAGATATATTTATTTTACGTAAAAAAGTAGGTATTCTTAAAAGTTTTTTTC